TAATACTGAAAGTTCAACTTGCCAGTGACATAACTGGATCTTTTATGAAATAGTACCTCACTTGACTTACAAAGACTAGTAAAACATTTTTAGGCTACAAGTAAAAGGGAAGTTTGTGATGATGTTATAAAATGCAATGCTTGGCATGTGGCAGATGCTTAAACATTTGGTGAATAAAGTTACCTTCCTTTTTTTTTTTTTTTTTTGAGACAGAGTCTCGCTCTGTCGCCCAGGCTGGAGCGCAATGGCCGGATCTCAGCTCACTGCAAGCTCCGCCTCCTGGGTTCAGGCCATTCTCCTGCCTCAGCCTCTCGAGTAGCTGGGACTACAGGCGCCCGCCACCTCGCCCGGCTAGTTTTTTGTATTTTTTTTAGTAGAGACGGGGTTTCACCGTGTTAGCCAGGATGGTCTCGATCTCCTGACCTCGTGATCCGCCCGTCTCGGCCTCCCAAAGTGCTGGGATTACAGGCTTGAGCCACCGTGCCCGGCCGTTATCTTCCTTTTAAGATGGTCCACTGAAAAAATGGATCAGCCCTTATGTGTGTATATATGTTTTAATGACCTCAAGCTCAAAGATCTGCTAGTGATCGCCTTTAGATAACATCTGAGTTAAATGTGTCTGGAGTCCCCTGCCACTGGTATATCTCAAAAGAAATAGCATTATTTGGTTTGGGCAGTACTATCTTTTTCTATTTATCTATCTACACCTTTATAAAGTGGAAGGTTGCAACTCTGGGGGCAATATTCCTCAGGGTATTAGAACAATGAATGAAATGCTTTTATGTATTTTCCCCTCAAGGAGAAATGACTTCTTAAACCCCAAGTGGAAGATTTTTCATTCAATCATTAGTATTCTAGTATTCTTTCTGAAATTGAAGTAGCAACATCCCTTTGACCTGTTTCACAAAGTTGACAAATGGCTTTTTCAGACATTTAGCCAAGAGATGGAAGGAATGGCAGATGTGGCTTCTGAGCTTACTCCTTCCCTCCACCCACTAGATGTCTCTCTTTTCTGCCCTTATCTATAAGTGAATATATTTCAGTAAGGCTTACTATTAAAAGCAAATTGAATCTGGACCATAGAAATAATGCGTTTCGTTTTCCCATTTAAAGCACGCCATTTTCAGTCATACACCCATGACTTCAGTAAAACTAAAGATGTTCTTTAGGCTGTGACAGTAATTTGCAGTGGGATTTATTTATCAGCAGTATTGATTTGGAACATTCTGTGTGCTAAGCACTCTTCAAGGTGCTGCGGGTAGTGGTGAATGAAACACATGAGTTTTGCATTCTGGAACTTTAAAAGTATATTCAGGTTACAACAAAGTAATGTTAAAATTTCAAAATCAGAAATAAGATTGTGTACATTCTTGCATTAATGAAATCCAGGAGACGTAAAGGATTGAGTAACATTCTAAGAATCTTTTTTGTTTTTTTCTGCCCTTAAAATTCTCTTTTTACAGTACTTGCTAGTGTTCTCTACATTTCTTTTAAGGTTAGACTTTGTACAATTTCTGCAGTTGAAAAGATGAGAAGTTAATTGCATAGTCTACTGAAACATGTAAGACATTTTTACCCCTTAATATTACATTACACATACATGATAACTGGCTTTAATTCATCGTGGAGATTTGAGGCGCTCATAAACTGGCTCAACATGTGTCCGTTGAGAATGTATGTACTATACATGAAGGTTTCTTCCCTGGAAAAGAAAGTTGAGAAACTATTTCCATATTTGCAACATGTGATCTAGAACTGTATAAGTGGTGTGTTTTTCATGTTTCAATCTGAATCCTAAGTGATAGCACGGATTGGTTTAACCAGTTGCTCTTTATTATTTTAGCACAGAACTGACATTGGTATGCCACTCCCAAGATACTTTTTCCTAAGGTGAACTTTACCATGAAAGAAGATTGTGATTTTGATTTTATATCCCAAAACATATTTACTCAAGGTATACTCTCCTCTGTATCCTAACAATTTAAGTTGGCTATTTTCCACAGAAAATTTCAATAACTTAAAAATGCTCAAAGTTATAAAATTATGTTAAGAACTAACTGAAATTGTGTGGTGTTCTGAGGTCCAGGCATTACGTGCTCGGGGTCACTTTATCCTTGGCTAGATCATTACCCTTTCCAAAGCAGCTGGCCTCTTTGGGCTTATTATAAACTTACAAATGAGCAACTATAGAAGGAAGTAAAGTTCCTTAAGAAAGTGGATGCAGGCCATTTTAGCTTAAGTAGTAAACAAACCAGCTGAAGCTATACTTTATCAAGAAAGCAAGCAGCTTTCTTTCCTCCATGTGCTGCCAGATTCTTTCACAGTATCCTTACAAACCTGCAAAATGGACTCAAAATTGATAGCTTAAAGCTAACATTTATAAAGAAGATCCTCATCCCAGTTTGTGAATGTTGGGGATAGCACTTCAGATTGAGATAAAAGCTGCCTGAGGTTAGATACAAATGAAAGCTTGTCAGTATTTTGAAAAATAGAATAAATATGTGTTCTGACAGTACACAAGTCTTTTAGGTAGCCTTGAGTTATTTTAGAGTGGGGGAGCTTTCCCTCTGCATCTCATTGTGCCAGGTAGGACTCCTGCTCTAAGATGTCTCATACACATCTGACTCTAAGTAGCCGCTGTAGAAATGCATGTGTGATGTCGCTCCTGACCTCAAGAGGGGGCTCCACACTTAGAGTAAAAACAAAGCAGTCTTACATGGAGAGGCCTTCCTGACACTTGTCCTCACTGCTGCCTTTGAATGTGTACCTTATGTGTCATCTCTGAGATAAGGGCCAGTTCTAGTACATGTGGCTGATCAACAGGACATGGTTGCTGATCAACAGGACATGGTTGAATACTTGGTAAGGACTTCTCTTTAGGAATGGTTTTCATGTATTAGTCTAGTTTTAATTAAGTAATTAAACATTGATGAACTTGATTATATTTTGGTGCAGAGCTGAACTGCTTTATCAGATGGGAAGTTTCGTCTCATGTTCACTAAATCCCAGTGAGTTTACCCTAGAATTATTAAACACAGAGAAGTTCTAGTTTCATGTCTTTCACTCTTCTGAACAACAGCTTTTTGTACTGTCTGTTCTCTGGTTTACACCCGCGAGACTAATTTACAAACAGCTCCTTGCAGTGTATTAACATTTCATGATGAGATGAAGTGGAAAGTGTTCCTATGACACAAAAGCCCTTTACCGCGGGATTGAGAACAGCTTTCCACTCCAAATGGTGTCATTATGTTCTCTATAATGGGTGTGATTGTTTAGTAACGATATATTTGAGCTGAGATGATTGAACATACATTATTTGAGTAATAACTCGATAGGCTATGCCTTTTTAAGCAGTTAATGTATGCCTAGGGTAAGATAAGACGGAAAAGGCTCGTTGTCATCATGCATAAAAAGAGCAACATCTAAAAGGTGCAAGTTTGAAAGTATATTTATGTAAACAGCATTTACACAGGCTGTCCTGTGTGCATAGCTGTTTCCTTTGAAAAGTTCCCTTTGTAGGATCAACTTTGTTGAATGGATTCCTAGTGAAATACTGTTAAAATAATGTTTTTTCCAGCTGAGGAGTGGCTTGCCTTCAGTTTTGCAAGTGGGAAGCTCTTCTAATTATAGAAGAGCTCCCTAACCTGCCACTTGACCTAACCTCTTTAGGTTGATGAACTTGAAATACTGCCTTTTCTTGGTAATCAGGTTCAGTCCAAAATTTTTTTCCAAGTATGTACCATATGAGAGACACTGTGCTAGACCTTGGTGGGAATACAGTGCACTTTGTATTTATAGCCTACCAGGGAGACGCCCTGAGTATTACTAACAAAATGCAGGACAGTGTGTGTTTAATGTTGTAATGGAAGTGGGTAAGTAAAAATTAACTCAGACTGAGAAAGTATAAATCTGCCTTGTCCTTCATCACACACAGATAAAGGCAGGAGACAATATTTCTCCCAAGGACCTGCTGCAGCTGTAACCTGTCTTAACTCCCTTCGAGTGACTATTGCCTTCTTACTCACTGAGAAACTTTGTTCTCTAAAATCATAGACTATCAGAAATTTTACTGTTGAAAATTCTTTCAGTAAGAATGAAACATCCCACTTTTATGTAATTCACTTTAACACAGAGAAGCAGCCTTCATTCCCAAAGGAAATGCAGAACTCCAGATATGACTTCTTGGATACACATTCTACATCTAAACTACAGTTTCCACGGATACAGGATGCTAGGCCCACTTGCACACCTGATCCCTTTAGACACAGCCCTGCTTTGTTCTGAGCCTATGGAAATGCTGGTTCATTTGAATTTTACCCCTCCCCTAAACCTTAATTTCCGTGGTTACTCCAGAGCATAGTTTCCTTCATGATAATGGGTCATGTTTGTCAGACTATAAGTTGGTTCATAGAGGCTTTGGGCTGATTGTGCTAGATAGAAGTACGTTCCAAGTGAAAAGTACAAAAGGATAGAGAAATTGATTTTAACTGAGTGTTCAGGAACACTTTAAGAAAGCAGTTGTATTCATAGTATTTATTGTCACTTTTTTTTTTTTTTTTTTTTTGAGACCGGGTCTCGCTTTGTTGCCCAATCTGATCTTGAACTGTTGGGCTCAAATGATCCTCTTACCTCAGCCTCCTGAGAAGCTGGGATTACAGGTAAGAGCCACTGCACCTGGCTGTTGTCACTGTTTTTAACAGTATTTGATACTGCAGACATGAGACCAAGAAAACTGTATTGATTTTTTTTTATTTCAGTAATTCTCAATTTAGCATTATGTATGTGTATTTACGTAATATGTAACATATATCCCTTTATCCTGTGTTTTCCACTTTTAATGGTTTTGTCTGTATTTTTCTTTTTTTTTTTTTCTTTTTTTGAGACAGAGTCTTGCTCTATCACCCAGGCTTGAGTGCAGTGGCACGATCTCAGCCCACTGCAACCTCTGCCTCCTGGGTTCAAGTGATTCTTGTGCCTCAGTCTCCTGAGTAGCTGGAATTACAGGCATGCACCACCACACCGAGCTAATTGTACTTTAGAGACGGGGTTTCACCATATTGGCCAGGCTTGTCTCGAACTCCTGACCTTAAGGGCTCTGCCCAACTATGTCTCCCAAGTGCTGAATTACAGGCGTGAGCCACCATGCTCAGCCAGTTCCACCTGATTTTTAAAATTGCCTTGGCCAGCATTGGATACACAGTAAATATTTAGTAAATGCTTTCCACATTGAATCAAAGAAGTTTCCCATCTTAGCTATTTCCTTGAAACTTTCCCGAAGTTTGAAACCTAATAGATCATCAGTGACATCCTCTTCATCAGTTTCACCTCTGCCTAATAAAGCACAAATTACTCTTAAGCAATGAGGCGCTGTGCAATTGAAGCCTTTTATAGCTCCATTTGTCTGCAGTCACCTAAAAGTCAATGGATAGATGTGTTTGTCATAATGTGTGATAAGTGCAAATAACCCTTGTTAGTAGTGTCGTTAGAGATGAAATAGATGCATAGGAACTAAGAGGTCATAAGCTGTCAGGTTTTACTGTAAGGAAATACAGAATGTCATTTGCACCTGAAAATGTACAGAAGTAAATGGACAGTTCTTCACCACAATCTAATTTGTTTTTCAAAGCTTTGCATGTTTACATTTGTTCACCCACTACCTTAGTCATGGCATAGCAAAATAAACCATAAATTAAAAGTAGCTCAGTATACCACTGAAGAAGTCAATAGATCTGAATATAGTAGCGTAGAAAAAGCAGCTTCAGTTTACTGGATGTGCCTTCAAGGCAGACCATGCCCTTTAGGTAGAGGATTAGTGGAGAACAGAAATCTCTGCCTCTCTATGGCTAGAAGTGGATCTATGTCATTGATCTACTGACAGTGACACTTTTCCTTACTTGAAACTTGGGTATGCAGTGACCTCACCTACTCAGAATCTGCAAAAGTGGGGAATTAATAATAGAAAAAGGCTTTTGAGTAGCCAAAAAGGATTTGATAAAGTTAACATTCTAAGTTAGCCTGTTCTCTTACCAGATAGTATGTCTGCTCAGTTCTTGCTTGATGTGAAGTTCTGAAGCTTTGTTGTCTGGTATCTGTTCCCTAACAAGTGCCACTATATTATATTTTGAGCTAGTGATAAGGGACTTATCTTTGTCCCTGTTCCTACATCCTTCTAGACTCCAACTGGTTTAATGAAGCGAGAGTACCTCAAGAGATATATACATGCCAAGAACGGCCTGTAACAGTTTTATTGCCCCTCCCCTGCCCAACTCATTGAAGGAAACAGGAGGGAGTGAACCCCAGTCTCTTCTGTTAAATCCATTGCAGTCCACTCTTGTGTTCTAATGAGTATATTACAATTGCAGTCTGAAGTCATTTCAGAGCTCCTATCCTTTACTACAAGCTGACTTAGGCGGGACTGCTCCAGCAACTCGAGGCTGAGGCCCAGGGTCTGACTTCTCTCCCCGGTTCCCTACTCCTGTTCTATTAAGGGTGAGAGGTTGGGAAGTTTGCTCTCTTCTCTGTGATGAGTTGTTGCTGCCAATCTGACTCCTAATGCTATAGATTTATTAAGGCTGGATGGTGAAAGACCGGACAACGGAGCCATCCCGAGTTCCTCTGACAGTGATGAGCCTCCCAGGAGAGGCAGCCACAGCTGAAGCACACACAGCTCCCTTCCGCTGTGGCAGCCCCACAAGCCTGCAAACCCGTGAACCTCGGTTCTCAACTCTGAGGCTGGCCAGACCTCCAACTGGTGGGTAAAACGTAGACATTTCCAAATACCAGGAAATGTTCTCTTGGGTGGGTGGGAGTTGGGGGACAAACTGAATTTCTCCCTTGGACCATGGGAAGGGGAGAGAACCATTCTTGAGAAAAAAATTATTGTGAGGTGGTAACGCTCTCTCCCTCTGCAGCTGTCTTTATTGCCCCAGTTGGGAACCACTGTTTTATACATCACTGTCTTATGTGTCTGCTGATGGAGTTTCCTGATGCCAAACAGAACGTCTCCAGGTCTCCAGGATGGTTTTCTTCCTGACTGGGTCTCTTTCTCCACCTTCTGCCAAGGCCTGCCTGCCCCAGTCCTTCTCTGGGAGATGAGTCTAGTGTTCAGGACCAGATGCATTGCCAGAGAGTGTCAGGCCTGTGTCGAGCTCCTCTTCTCACATTGGACCGCAACAGTCTACACGCATCAGCAAACCCTGAATGCACTGTGTTAAATTAAAAATAAGCTTCTCAGTCATGATCTTAAGTCTGGTTTTGATCATTTTTCCATGAAAGATTAAGTTAAATTATTTAAGATAAATCGGGTTTAGAAATGATTAATCGGCCGGGCACGGTGGCTCAAGCCTGTAATCCCAGCACTTTGGGAGGCCGAGACGGGCGGATCACGAGGTCAGGAGATCGAGACCATCCTGGCTAACACAGTGAAACCCCATCTCTACTAAAAAATACAAAAAAAAAAAAAACTAGCCAGGTGAGGTGGCGGGCGCCTGTAGTCCCAGCTACTCAGGAGGCTGAGGCAGGAGAATGGCGTGAACCCGGGAGGCAGAGCTTGCAGTGAGCTGAGATCCAGCCACTGCACTCCAGCCTGGGTGACAGAGCGAGACTCCGTCTCAAAAAAAAAAAAAAAATGATTAATAAGAGAAAGTACCTAAAGAAGTACATCTGGAAGACAAAGCTGCCAAGTAGGTAAAGATAAAATTACTATCAAGCACCTACTCTGTGGCAGGCAATGTTTTAGATGTTTTGCATTTGATCCTGCAGCCATTTCATGAATTAGCATTGCTAACTCCATTTACAGAGGAGCAAATTGACACTTCATAAGGATAAAGGACTTGACCAAGGTTACACAGAGTATTGCCTAGACCCTTTTGGATCCAAGTAACAGAAAAATCCAATTCCAATTATTAAATAAGAATGGCATCTCACCTCAAAGCAGTCTATAGGTAGGTGGCTCCAGGACTGATTGATTTAGTGGCCCACCAGCATCATCAAGGACCCAGTATTTTCCCATCTTTTGTTCTGTCATTCTCAGTGTGGAGGTTGTGTCCTTAGGTTGCCTCCTCCCTTTGTTGACAGACGGTGGTTGCTGTTTCAGGCCCGGACATAATCAAATCCATGTGAAGAAGAGAGATTTCTTCCTGGGTGGCCCTTCGCAAGAGAAAGAAAATTTTCCTATAAGTCTTCCAGAAGAGTTCTTTATGTCTTAATGGTCAGAACTGCACCATGTGTCTAGGTTGAATAGATTTCAAAGACAGGCTTAGTGAGACACCAAGTGAAAGGGTGTGTCCTACTAGAACAAAACCAGTTCTCTCTGGAAGACGTGGGGAATGTACATGTTCATTGTTGGATACACACTAGCATTGTCTGCTACAAACACAGTAGAGTGGGGATTCAAACCCCAGTGTCTCATCTCAAACCTGCGTTTGTCTCTCGTTCCCTAAGTCACACGCATATGGGGGCTTACTATGTTTGGCTATTATGAAAAATGTGGTTGTAATAAACCCCAGATTTTGAGCAGTTTACACTTAAGATTATATTTGGGTTAGATAAATATTAAAATTTGTTCACTTTCTCTGAACATGGGCCAAATGGTGTGTGGAACCAGTTATGGTCTTATAGAGTGTGGCTTTCTAATAACAGGACCACAAGCATTTAAAACTTATTTCCTTCTGTCTGGTATTAATAATCTTTTTAACATAGTGTCCCCCTCTCTCTCTCCCCTACTGGGGAGTGGTGGCTAATGAGGTTGGAAAGGTAGAGAGAGAGAAGAGGCCCTTGAATGTTAGGTTAAAGGATATAGATTTTTATCTTCCTTAAGGAATATGGAATCATTGAAAGTGTTATCCGGAGAAAGACATCACCCAAGCTATAATTAGGAAGATTAATTTGTCAGAAGTGGATGAGAAGAATTGAGAGAAAAATTTGAGGTGTTTACTTTTGTAGGGAGTATGACTCTCAGTCACCTGAGTCTGTTGTGCAAGAAATGCCCATTTCCTTATTTTCTTCAGGTTGTGTTTCAGGTTCCATTCTGCTGGGCTTGTAGAAAATTCAGTCTGGATCATGATTTGGTATCCCTGCTTTCCCAAGTATGTTCCCGAATCTGGAAAGATGACTAGGAGTCTGGGAGTCCTGGGAAGGATTCCTAATTTCCATCCCATCGTGGTTGCCACGGACATCTTTGAAGCTGGGAGACCTCCTGTGGCTTGGGGCATAGAAGCTTGGTCTCTAGGGACCAGGCCACACAGCCATGTCCTCTGAAGTAGCGCTGCCTCTTCAGAGTGCTGCCATCAGTATGGCTTGGGAGGTCGCTCCCTTCACCCTCTCAGTCTCTGACCTTTGTAAACTGTATTCAGTGAAATTTATAGACCTTATTTTATAGTTTGATGTGCTCTGATGAATAATTACGTAAGCACACCCCAATCAAGATACAGAACATTCTTATCACTCTAGAAATTCTCCTGCGCTTCCTTCCAGTCCATCCTCTCCCCGCCTGAAAGCAGTCACTCTTCTAAATTTTATCCTCATAGACTAATTTGCCTGTTCTAGAAATTCATATAAATAGAATCATGCAGGATACGCTCTGTAGCGTCCTGCTCCTTTTACCCAACATTGTATGTGTGAGACTTACCCATATTGTAGAAATCAATAGTTCATACCATTTTGTTGTTTAGTATTTCTTTTTTGTTGCTGAGTAGTATTCCACTTCTTTTATCTTTAAGTCTTTCCCTCTCCTCTTGTTGTCCTCAAAAACACTAAATGTGCTTTCTTCAATAAAAGCCAGGAAGCCTTCACCTAAAGACAAGGATGCACAGGGTGCTCATTTTTTCGTGGAATAGATAAGGGAAAAGGCAGCACAAAAGACACAAGTTAGTATCTCAGGCAATTGGCCTGCCACATAATTATCCAGAGAAGAGACTGTGAAGACCTGGATTAGGGTGGAGCATGGGAACAGGGAGGAGGGGGGCTATGAGAAGGCTAGTACAGTGGTGGCATTGATGGGGTTTAGGACATAATTAGACCTGGGGAAAGGCAGTGGCGGAAGGCCAATGCTGAGTTGTTTAGCCTGGGAGGTGACCGAGGTGCTGGGATAGAGGTGAGGATGGCGGTTGGTACAGTATCTAAAATAAGAGGAGCATATTTAGGAGGGAAAATGGTGAGTGCAGTTTGGTACCTGTTGATTTTGAGGGGTATATGGGAGATAATTTCCATGATCTAGAAACAGATCGCCAGCTCAATAGCATCTTCAGAACTGCAAGTGAAGATGAAGGGTAATGCATGAAGAGGTGAATGCTGAAACCTTGAGAAAGGAAAGGTAAAGGAGGGAAATAAGAACAGGGCTTTGGGGAATGACATGCAGGAGACCCAAGGAAAAAGAGGAGTCAAAGAAGGAAGGAGGGGGTGGCCACAGTGTTAGTGTGCGTGGGGGCAGGGTGTCCTGGGAACCAGGAGAGCAAAGGACATGAAAGAAACAGCTGGCAGAAATGCCAAAGCCTGCAGAGAGATGACAAAGATAAAGACTGAATAAAAGGTCATTACATTTCCCAGTTGGAAGATCACTGGTGGACTTTGAGGGATCAACTTCAGAAGGGAAATGGGAATTGACGAGGATTGCAAGGAGCCCCGGAGTAAGAATAATGAGACGGCTCCAATCATTGGAAACAACTTTTGTTATTTTTTTTTTTTTTTCAAGAAATATGCACTTAAAAAGCTCAAAGGGCAGGAGGATAGGTTGGAAACAGGTTGCTTGGGTTCGTTCACCTGGAAGCCTCAAGCATACCTGTGCACTGAGGCTAAGGAGGCAGAAGTGAGAAGGGATGGGTTTGACTCAAGCTTCCAGAAGAGGTAAGAGATGGTGGGATGGAAAGTGAGAGAAAAGTAGGTTAATCCTGGAAAAGAGTGAGGGGTCAGTCCTCTTCTTGGAAAGCAGTGGAGAAGAGGATGGGTGATACATTCCAGGGTGAGGAGGGAGCAGTCCCAGCTCTGGTTGTCTCCAGCATGACCACAACCCCTCAAGAGGTTTTTTTTTTTTGTTTGCTATATTTACTCTGAATACATGAGATTTATAAAATGTGACCTTTAAGGACCAGGAGGCAGGATTTTGAAGCAGCACATATAGAGGAGGCCTTTTCCAACAGTTACAGGCAAGATGGTAGAGTAGAGATCATCCCCCAAACGTCATTCTGTAACCACTCTATTGTGTTCATAGCAAAGGGCAGCAAGCCCAAGGTTAGGAACCTTACTATGAAGCGTTAATAAGAGACACTGGGCACATGTCCTTTGATCAGATTAATCAGAGGCCAAACTACACAGCATTAACAATGGAGATTAGCATTGGCTGGGTAGGTTGGCAAGGCGAAAGTGGGAAATACCAGACCTTGGATTCAGAAGCACTTGTTTGCACTCGTTTTCAGAATTATATCTGCAGCACAAAAGGGACGCCCAGCAGATTGAATTGGCTTCACAATTAACATGATGCTTGCAAGCACACGGTTTGCTCAGGCTTGAATTGTTCTGTGCTTCTTGAATGCACATCCGTTGGTGGTACAGGGGAGCAGTGATGCCGTGGTGTTTTCTACCTGACCTCCACAGTCCTGGCTATGTGCTGGAGGGCTGTGGTTGCTAGAAATCTGGCTACTCTGTAAAGGAATGTTACAGTTCTTGGAAATTCTAGTGAGTGTTCTCAGTACGCCCAGTGCAACAGGCCCAAATATACATCTATTAAACATATAGGAATGTATTTGTTGACCTTCTAGGGAGAAGGCACAGGTCCAAAGCTGCCCCACTCACTCATGTAGTGGTGGCTTCTTTATTCTGTATTACAGATTTTATCACTGATACCTCTGGAAGAAAGTGTCACTTCCCACCTCCTTTTCCCACTCCTGTGGATCTTAAGAATTTTTGTCAGTTTCTTCTCTTATCATGGTCTAACCCCAAACAACTTACAGTGGGTGCCACAGGTGTTAATATACAAAAGAATAAACAATACAGCTGGGATGATCTCTTCTTTCTGGAAGATTACTGTACTCAAAGACACAACATTTTCTAAACATTTAGAAATGAATTCCTAAAATTCTATCAGTGCAAACTGAGTGGGAATAATTCAGAAACTGAAGGCTGCAATGGTTTGTCTCCTTCCAAATTCAGCCTTCCTTCCCCTCTCCCACAATGACCCTGGCCTTTTTTTGCATATAAATTACCTCTGCCTGGGGTTGGATGGGGCACTGTGCTAAACCTCTGGGAGAGGAT